AGAGAAGAGATCAGAGTTGTCAGTGACTGTAATTGTAGAGGAGATCAGAGTTAGGCTGTTTGTGTTTTAAGTTTTGGGCTGGGTTGGGTTGTAATTAATTGCTGTTTTTTTTAAAAAACATTGCTTTTTTTTTTTCTGTTTAAAAGAAGTTTATCCATTGTGGTTAAAATATATTTATAGTACATCTTTATTGGTTGGGTTTATCTTTTTCTTCGAATTTTACACTTATTGGATGATCAAATTACACGATGTTTACTATTTCTTAATTGTACTTTTGGTTCTTTTAATCTAGATAAGATCATTTTAGTTTAAAAAATATATCATAATTAATGTTGGAACCATTAGTTATATATTTTATGTTGTTTTCTAATTTTTCAACTTAAGTTTTTTTTATTTGTGGTGAGGCTTACGCCGCAAAACGTTTTGAGATTTACGCCTCGCCTTGTGACAAAAAAAGGCTCCAGTACCCGTTTACGTTTTTTCAAACCATGCTGTCGGACACAATAAAATATTAAAAATTAAATATAACAAATATTTTGCTAAAAGTAAACATATATAATTTTAACATATGTATCAACAATATTCACCAAATGACATAGTGGCCAAGTTTTGTATAATTCAAACGAAGCGTATATGTTCTAATCTTTCCAATTGCATTAAAATCGCTAGAACTGAACATATATTATTTTGTAACAGTTAGCGTCAAAATTCAATGAATGACATGATAATCAAGTTTTCAACAATCTTAAAGTGGGCTCACAGGTTCGACTTCCCTTCCTATTGCATTTGCTTCGATAAAAATTGTAGAACTAGAAAAATTGCACAATAAATTGGTATGGAAGAGATTCAAAGATTTCCAATTTGGATTTAAAGGCTCTAACCAATTAAGCTATAAAATATGCTTGAAAACAAAATGAATTATCAAATATATAGCCTAAATAATTTATCTATTCTCAATAAAAAATAATAATAATAATAAAATTGTCCTGGCAGATCCAGCACGTGCGGCCGTCGATGCTCACCGTGTGCTGGATCCGTCACTACTTATTGCTTAACTTGGGTTGATGGCATCAGAACCTCAAAGTAAGAAATGTAGTAAAAGAAGTTGGAATTTGATTAAACCATAATTTTATTCTCCCGAAAGCAATCAATTCGAAGAAACATAAAATAAAGACTCACGAACATGCAAGATTTATAAAGATTCGCCTCAATATGAGATTACGTCATCGCACAGGCCAAGTCGCGATCAACTCCACGAAATGACAATAATTAAGATCGACAATAACTAGGTTTTACAACTTAATGATATAGACTATCTACAGGATCAGTAGTTGACAATGGACGAGGTTGAGATATATTGGACATATATAGAAGAGGAAATTACACCTCTTAATGATATAGACTATCTACAGGATCAGTAGTTGACAATGGACGAGGTTGAGATATATTGGACATATATAGAAGAGGAAATTACACCTCTTACATAGTATGTGATATAATTTCAAGAATTACTTTGTCATTAATTTATTCAAATATACTATTAAAAATATAGTGAAATAAAAAATATGTAAATCACCTCACTCATACTGAATAATTAATTGTGAGCTATATATGTGCCACCAAACACATCACTTACCAAAATTTTATAAATCATAATAGATGGTACATGAACATATGTTTCTGAAAATTATGCGTATCTGGATTGATTACTGAGTCAGAATCAAAAAAAATATTGAGTCGTAAAACTGAAAATTATATATTTTTTCAACAAGAGAACATTCATACTCGATGGATTCAGAAGGGAAAAAAAAAAGAGAGAATGATGATTGTTTTTTCCCAAAAGCATGTGTTACGGTTTGGTCACTGAAAATTTTTTGAATTATGAGAAGGCATAGAAACAACAATAAATGACCAGCTTAATATTAGTGTAATTAAAATTAATTTCAGTTACAAAAAAATATATGGAGTCTAAATTGGGTATATAATATCTCCCAAAATATTAACCATCTCACCAAGTAATACTTGGTATATAAAAATCACATAGTAAACCTTGAATATTTATTCCATAATGACGTAGATACGAAAATTTCCGTAGATAGAAACAATTTTAGTAGGAGCTTGAGAAACTGTTTAGGAAAAAAAAATGTTGGCCGGGTTTAATGGGGAGTTAGTAATAGTTAGAAAATAAATTTGTTGAGGATGTTTGGTACAGTTAGTATTAATGAGAATAAGAGAATAATTATTTCAGGTAAGCAGACCAACCATACAGAACTTGATATTGAGTTGTTATATACTTTTAATTCTCCAAGCACATAATTCACACGAAGAATTAATTTGCTACACTTCGACTTGTTACAAATATCTACTTGTCAATAGTGGATAAAGGCATTAACAATTCTATAGGACAATAGAAGATAAGAAAAATGGGATAAATCAAATGTTCATGATCAATTAAATAACTAGACTTATTAATCAATTTTATTGTCGACTACCCGAAAAGAATATATATTTTATGTTATGCACTTCAATTTAAGTTTCTTTTAGGAGAATAGACTTTGTAATAGTGATTTATTGAAGATTGCGAGATTAAAAATAAAAATAAAAATAAAAATGTTGAATGTATTGAAAAAAATGTATGGTTGTTATACTCCATCATTACTGATTGTGATTGTTTTGAATTTGATGATACCTCACACAGAGGAAAAAAAAAGTAATTAATTAATTATTCCATTCATATCGTTTGATAATTTAAAATAATGAACTGAAGTGACAAATATTTTTGAATCATCAAATTGGATCGACTATACTATTTGCTGGGACATGAAATTGGTCGAGAGGTTACAATTAACAAAATCTTATGCAAAAAAAATAAAAAAAAAAGTAATATTACTCAACGAATATGTTCATGTTTGGTAGTGATTAAAATCAATTTTTTTTAGCTGATTTTATAAAAGCTGATGAAATGTGAGGTTAGAAAATTATGGATTATATAAAATATGTGATTAAAATTAATTGTTGTCTTGAACTTAAATTTTACACCGTTGACAACTAGGGATGGCAAAAAAGCTTGGGCAGCTCGAGCTCGGCCCTGAAAAAGCCTGAGTTGGGCCCGGCTCGGGCCGAGCCCCATTTTGGAGGGTCGACCCGAGCCGGCCCGGCCCGTAATTAATAAAAAAAATTAAAATTAATATAAAAAATTTTAAAAGATGCCTGTAGGCAGCTACATCTGCCTGCTTAGCAGGCGCTGCTAGATAGCTGACTGCTCAACGCAGGCAGCTAAGAAAGAAAAAATTAATAAAAAATCGAGTCGGCCCAGTCGAGCTCGGGCCAAAGCTCGGGCCGATCCTTATTTTTTTTGGTTGGGCTCTGCTAGGACCCGAAAAAAGCTCGAGCCAAACCCGAGCTTTTTTTTTTGGCTTGGGTTAGGCTCAACTCGACTCGTTGACACTATTGACAACCTTGAAAAAGTGATTTTAAAGAGATTTTAATTTTTTTGCACAGTAAGAGCATTAGTGGACAAAAGGAAAAGCAACTGACGGATTGAAACACAGTAAAAATTCACCCGTTTAAAACACTGAATACCATGTTTGCCCTCAGATCGTCATGTAAATTTACTTATTTGCCCTTCAATCTTTCTCCTCAATTGGTATCTAGGCATTTATTTAAGGGTAAAATTGGAAAGATATATATCATATCATGAAATTAATAAACAATTCTTTGTTGACATGAATACATCATACTGCAGATGCGGGCCCCAGTATATTGTTTGCAAAAATCTTGTTTTGGTGAATCAAAGGATATCAAACAGGGACTTAATTAAATTTTTTAACTAGACTTAATTAAATTTTTTAACTGTACAAACATGAGCTAAGATTCTTTGAATTTAGAGACGCACTATTTGTACCGGGGTAAATGTGGGCCCCCCTATTGTGAGGGGGCCGGTCAGGGAGGTTGTATACCCCCGGTACAAGAAGAATTTTTCTTGAATTTATATTCATAGTTTATTCTCGTTGGAAAATTTGGTCTACATCAATAAAGAAATCTTTGACATTAAATTGTATTTTTTTTATTTATTTAAAGTAGCTCCACGCTAATCATGTGTTATCCAACTATTGGACCACATTATCTCTTAAGCCCTATTTCGTTGTCACATTTTTAACCACATTATCTCTTAAGCCCTGTTTGATTGTCACATCCGAAAAAAATGAATTTCACTTTAACCGTTTGATTGCAACGTCTAAAGTACAACTTTAAGTTGCATTGTTTTTGTTTTCGTGGAAAATGAATTTCTATGAGTTTGGTGAATTTTTATTTTTCAACTAAACTGGAATTGGAATTCATTTCTAAATTTACCTATCAAATGGATCCTTAGATTCCGAAATTTTCCATGATAAAGAAAAAATAACAAGAGAGAAAATATTGAAGTTCAACTAGCATATGGAATAATCAATAATAAAAGAACAAATGTTATCTGATTGAGTCTTTCCCGATATGCTCTTTCACAGTAAAGTATGAACAGAAATGATCTAATGAGCACCGGTGCTCATCTTATCCTAAATACCGATGAGTTGGCACATTACTTCATTGGTGGATAAAGATTTTGTGAGTTCCAATTCACCAATGAATTAATGTCTCAACTCATTGGTATTTAGGATAAGATGAGTACCGGTACTCATTAGATCATTTCTGAAGTATGAAATTCAATCTTTCAATAAGTCTTTAAGGAAAGGTCATCTAGATTTTCAAGAACGGATTCATATAAAAATAAATTTCTTTTTTAGCCAAAATAAAGTCTTTCCCGATATGCTCTTTAATAGTATTTTACACATCACTCCAAAACTAAGGAAAAAGAAAATTCTAATGAGTTAAAAAACTAAGAAAATACATAAATTATTCACAAAAAGGAAAATATATAAGTGAATTAAATCAACCAGTCAAAACAAAGCTTTAAAAAACTGCAGCTTTGTCGTGTTGTACCGTAGACTGAGTCAAATTTATCCTCATTTGTTTTGTACTTTGGCTCTGCTGTTGCTCGGAAAGTAAGCTCTTGACAACCATAAAACGACGCCGTAAAAGCACCCAATCAATCCTCGGCACTTGTCCATCATTTTCCGCACAAAAAATCTTCCGTCGTCGTCATCAAGCACCGCCATCGCCATGGGCTGAAGGTACGCCCACGCCGCATGCTTCACTAAAGGATTCTTAATTGGAATCTCCTTCCAGCTGTCCATCCGGATTGTCACTGGCGATCTGGTCGACGTTGGCGACACCGGAAGTATGTCTTTCAGGCTGGTGTAGCTTGAATTCTGAATCGGAATCATCTCTATATCCGAGTACTGAAAGCGATTATTTCCATCGGCTACGAGAAATCGTCGAGCTTGCGAGCGATTCATCAGTGGAAAATCAAGATCACTGTGAGGCTTAAGTATCTGAGTTTCCATATTGGAATTGGATTTGATTAGAACTTTTTTCAGGTGAGTGAGTCGTGTGTGGTGTGTGTGAAAGGAAGAGGGGGCGAAATGAGAGCGAGTAGTAAATGTATGTATGTAAGTGAAGGATATGAGTGGGGTCCACGCGCAATGGGAAAGGAGAGTTTGAAAGGACACGTGCTCATGTAGCAGTTAGTTGGTGGTCCAAACGTGTGGACTGAATGTCTTTATTACATTATCTTCCATGCACATCTGTAAAGAGTGTATTTCACAATTTAAAGAGCAATCATGCTACACTACCATCTTGCTTGACAATTTGATTGACATTCTCTAATAAAAAGATATAAATGTCCTACTTCTATTATCTACTCAAGTCAATGTACTCTATTCCTAATATAGGCTAAATTTGGTTTATTTCTCCTAATAAATGAAAAAGTCAATTATGCTCGTATTTATCAATATATTTTTTATTAAAACTA